TTAAATAGATATATACTACTAACTTTTTTTGTTTTATACACGATTATCTCTTATGCAAGGCATAAATTGCCTTGTAATTAGGTAAAGCTAATAAATCCAAATAATGTATTAGGTAAATATTGGCATATATATTTGTCTACATAATTATACTCCCATCTGGTAATGTCGATATTTTTTTGGACAAACTGGTTATGTCAATTATGTAACTGAAGTTATTCCTTTATCTTACGGACGTGGATGCATATATAATAAGACCAATAGCCTATTAGGTTAAAATGATTACTTATTAGTAAAAACGTTAATGACTTTCTAGTGGTTTTTTTCATAATTGCGGTCTAAGATTCTTCCATCAATTTGTTTCTCGATTGACATTAATAAGGCAATAATCTTGGCAGTTGTCATTTCGATGGATCCATTTTAACAGCACATTTTTTCCCCAAAATATTCTTCTATAACCTTTTTCCAATTACTATTGACTAAAGGATATATTGTTTCAATTGTATAACTAGTTATTTTGTCCGCACATGCGGGCATAATTTTCGTACAATTTATTATTAGTCTAAATTTTATTAATTCAAACCAATATAATAATGTATAATTTATGTTTTAAAATTAATTATAAATGACAACACTCACATAACAAAATATTTTTAAATATATATTTTTACAAATGTGTTGTTTTAATTTATTTTAATTATAATTTTTTATATCTTATTTTTTTCTATAATAAAAAATATTTTTTCAAGATAACAATATAATACATAAGAAGTATCTTATTTTCTCAAAATAGAGTTTTTAATAGAAATTCGTTTTATTTTATAAGAAATTTTATATGAAATTATTAAAAATATGACAAATAATCAAAACTATCTAAATCATAGGGAAATTACGAATCAGATAATTCAATTAAATTTTCTAATAGAAAATATATGTTTAAGATAATAATTTAATACATAAGAATTATCTTATTTTTTAAATCTAGTATTATCAGTATACATTCTTTTTATTATTTAATAAATTATATATGAAATTATTAAATATGATAAATAAGCAAAATATAAAACCATGGAGAAGTTGATAAATCATCATTTTTTTTCTTTATATTTAACTATTAATATTTTAACTTAATTTTCAATTTCTATGATAAAAAATATATTTTAAATTTAATACAAAATAATTAACATATTTTCTAAAATATAATATTATTAATATAAATTTGTTTTTATTAAATAATAAATTGGATATAAAATTATTTAAATAAGATAAATAAAAAAATTTTCCTAAAATCAAGGTGAATATGACAGCTAAGCAAATCTACTTCTTATATAATAGTATAATAATAGTATAGATAAGTCGTGCGACTGAATATGGTTTACATATTTTTTAATTTATTTTATGAGTCAGTTAACTTAATCCAACTGATGATAGTCTAATGGTAATTTTTTAGAGTTTGATATATATTCACATTAGTTATGAATTATATCTTTTTTGCGAATTAAATCATCACTATTTGAGCAGTTTAAATTTGGATTTTAGTCTAAATGGTGATATGGTGGATCGTAACTGATGATCAATAATTCTTTAGCATTAGTTGGAAGATCTTTTAAATTCAAATCAGACAATGTGATACGCTTTTGAGTTAATCCACTCTATAATATTAAATACATTCCTCTTAAGGTTAACCGGATCAACCAACAGTATTTATAAAAGAAAAGTTCGTAAAACAGGAGATGGAAGGACAAACGAATATCTATATATACTCCTTCCGTTTCAATTTCATTTATGTTTTAGAAAAAAAATTGTTTCAAAAAGATGTATATTTTATTTTTATAATGTATTAATTAATGTTAAATTGTAAATTTCAAAGCATTTATTTAAATCTCATTGGTTAGAAGTTATGGGGAGTAAAAAATTACAAGAAATAATGCATTGCTAATTAAAAACTCATAGATTTTTTTATTATATGTAATTTTTTAAAAACGTTACATCTTATTGAAACTGAAGGAGTATATGAGAAAACCATGCATAGACAAAAACTGAAGCTGATTTATGGGCTTTGTTTTGGGCGGTCGAATGTATGGCTAATTTACACTTCTCAAAAATTATTTTTGAGACATCGTCCGTCAACCTCCATAATTTTCTCACACAGCCTGAGAACCAACATCCCTATGACTACCGCCTCATATGCCATAATATACTCTCTCTCCTGGCAAGGATAGACATATGGANATCATACATAGCCAGACATGCCCCGGCCTGGCTCTTTCATCTTCTCGCTTTGGAGGTTCAAAAATAAGGGATCAGCTAGGTAAGCTTCCTTTCATGCTGTTGGGGTCTACTGATCTCCCATCTTTTTAGTTTAATTTGCTCTATGTATTTCCTGTACCCATTATTGTACAATCTTTTTTCCAAGTGTTATAAAAAAAAAGACAAAAGTAGATAGAATGTTATCGTATAATAATAATAATAATAATAATAAATAATAATTGTATATAATTAATGAACATTATGATTCCTTTTCAATATTCGACTATCAGTCTATCACCTAGTACGACACGGTTCACTCAGAAATCATGGGAATGATCACAAAGTATGAATGTTTGTTTAAAAAATAACCTAAAACAATATAAAAGATGATACTCGAAGATGTGTTTGGTGTTTGATTGAGTCATTATCGAAGCCTCACATGGGCTAGGAATGGTAATGAAAGAGTCCCGCTATTCACCAAACTGTATTCTTTTTTTTTTTCTGTTTCCAATTATTATTGTTATTATCAATTAGTTGGGGAAAATCTAGAAAAAATTGGAAGTATCTATGATATACAGTCATGTTGTGATGACCAAACCCATGTGACAGTTGGTTTGAAGTTTCACCACAGCCAAAATCTCTTTGGATCCAACTTGTTCACCTTTAGAAAATAAGTCAAAACTAATATATATATATATATATCTCTATAATATTATTTGAGAAGTCACTTTCTTAGGTGTCGCTCTCAGGTTAACTCTCACGCTGGTTGATTACTATGATACCCCTAATGAATTAAAAATATATTTAAATATTATTATTTCCTTTTTAAAATCTTCCAAATAACAATATAAAATAAAAGGGAAATATATATAAAATTTACACACCTATTTAAAACGAAAAATAAGTATATGTATAATATGGTTTCATAAAAAGGAAAGTTTACAAAATAGTAATATTTAACTTAAATATATTTTTAAATAACATAAATTATATTTTAAGTAATAAAATACTTTATATCTATATCTTCTTAGATGGAAAAAAATATTTGTATATAATGTGTTTTCATTAAAAAAAATTAATACAGATAATCTTGATATTAGAAAAAGAAATATTTTTTTCTTTTAAAAAATAATTTAAACAATAAAATATATATTTTCATAGTAATTATTTTTAATATATCTATCTATTTTGTTAGATGATTACATAAAATAATTAAGTAACATAAACTGATATATGTTTAGTTGACAAAAATTTTATAATTAGTATTATTGAAATATTTTTTTAGTATATTTATTTGATTATAATATCTTACAATTACAGTAAAAAATATAAATTATATATCCAAATGATAAAACTGACTAAATATAATATATCTAAAATTATATATAATTAAATTAATATAATATTATTAATACAAATTATACATACAAACTATAAATTAATATAAAATTTAAAGTAAATATCAGCCAACTATTATAATATATTTATTTTTTAATTATTTATGTCCGTGCATGAGCACGGGAAAATCACCTAGTATATATATATATAGTATGACAGTTAATTAATTTATAGTTAAAGAAATATTCACTCATAACCTAGGATATATATACCTTAGAGCATTTTATGGAATATTTAGATATTTTATAAAAAAAATACTTTCTTTATTTCATTATAAGTGTCATTTAGCTTTGTGCACATGGATTAAAAAAAAAAAAAATTTACATATTTTTCATATAAAAACACAATTACCTATACACCTAACCATATTTCAATCAATAGAAAAATAAATTGCATAATAAAATTAATAAATTTGTTTTGAAAACTGAATATGATACTTGTTTTGTAATGATATTTTTTTCTGTTGTAACACTTAATCTAAAATGGAAGAAGCAGTATTTTATAACTTAACATTTCAAACAGATAATTTCAGTTAAACATATCTAAAATATTTGAGATACTATTACGTAAAGTTTTAAATATTAAAAAAAAAATATTTGAAATACTTACTAAATAAAATTTTATTTTATTTATTCGTTAGATACTTGTATTCAAATCCTCCCGATTAACAGGCGTATGATAGAGCTAATGATATCATCAAAACTAGTCTTATAAGAAAACTATTAACTTTAAAAGCTCTTTCTCAAAAATAAACTAATAAATTTGTGAAAATTAATTGTGTTTGTCTCTTTCTCAAAAAAAAATTGTGTTTGTTGATAAATATTTTTCTATTTTAAATGAAACTACAATACTACTTTCCCAAAACATCGTTAAACAAAAATATTTCCCGACATACGTTTGGTACATGTAACCTTTTAATATCCACTAAACCTATAACAATGTGAGAGTAATAGATGATATAACCCATTTGCCCATGTCTGTGCAACTACAAATGAGTTTAAATTAAAGAATCAACATCACTCTCTCTCTCTCTCTCTCTAAATCAACGAGATTTTTGGGGTCATGTTGGTAATGGAATGGGTCCCATTTAGGACCAAATTGATTGCCAGTTAATTAGACAAAGAACTATAACAGAAAGTTTTGATCCCAAAAAAAAAGAAAAAAAAAACACAACGTATATTTCTTTCTCATTAAGCCAACACTACTTATAGCCACTTTCACTCTTCCATGCTCCTTCACTTCTTTACATATATTCCACAAACACTCTATCATTCCTTTTTCTTCTTTACATATATTCCACAAACACTTTCACAGACACACTCAAAACACACACCTGAACATTAATAATTCCTACAATGGCACGACCACAACAACGTTTCCGAGGCGTGAGACAGAGACATTGGGGCTCTTGGGTCTCCGAGATTCGTCACCCTCTCTTGTAAGACTCTCTCAAAATTACCAAAATAGCCTCTCTTTTTTTAACTAACCAAAAATGTGTGGCTAATTCGTTTTCTTTTTGTTTCAGGAAAACAAGAATCTGGCTAGGGACATTTGAGACGGCAGAGGATGCAGCAAGGGCCTACGACGAGGCAGCGAGGCTAATGTGTGGCCCTAGAGCCCGAACCAACTTCCCTTACAACCCAAACGCTATCCCTTCAACCTCTTCCAAGCTCCTCTCGGCCACTCTCACCGCTAAGCTCCACAAATGCTACATGGCTTCTCTTCAGATGACCAAACAGACACAAACACAAACACAAACGCAGAACACAAGATTACGCCCGTTATCTTTACCTGACACTCACGGCGTCAAGAACGTGACGTCCCACGACAGAGATCATCAGTGTAACAAGGGAAGAGTAACGGAGATAAAGTGGGAAGATGGTAACGTCGATATGCAACAGAACTTTAGGCCATTGGAGGATGATCACATCGAGCAAATGATAGAGGAGCTGCTTCATTACGGTTCCGTTGAGTTTTGCTCTGTTTTACCTAGTTAGGCCATGTCGCTTAAGCGTAATTTTTTTTATATTTTCCTTCCAACGAAACGGCGTCGTAATATGAGTAGATATAGTAGAAGATAAAAAAGAGTCTAATTTCAAGAAACTTTCATTCTAGTTTCTTTAAATAGCAACCGATCATATGCTATGTAATGTATAGTCATTTTTATGATAAACTATTTTATCAATTTATTTGCATCATTTTTCTCCATTTAAGAAAACCCAATGGAGTTGGATGATGAGAATTATGTTTTATATGTGTTCGTGTGCGAATAAGTGGGGGGTTTTTATGTAGTGAAAAGATGCAACATTAGGAAGAATGACAAAAGATGAAGAGAGACACAGAGTTTGTAATAAGGGTTTGAAAATTTTGTTCTTTTTGTTTCATGCAAATTCTAATTTTCTCAACGGTGGGCCTTAATTGACGTACGCAACCGCAATCACTGCTTTATCAACGTTTTGAGATATTTTATTTTTGTATGTTTCTTCACGAACAAAATCGTTCCCCTTACTGATTTGAAATGGACGTATGCAACTGCAATCACTAATTTGTGATGTTTTACGGATGCTTGCAGTCTCTATATACGTTATCAGTTGTTACTAACAAGCGAAGAAAAAAAAAACTAAGTAGATGATTATTCCGTATGGCCCAATTAGCTCGTAGTGATATAACCACTACACATGCGATGTGTCTAAACTGCAACATACAAATGACTCGACATTAGAAATTATATGGATCTAAAGATTTCTTGCCCCTTTTTTTTCATGCATGGATAAATTAATGATTCTAATAATTCTCAAAAATAATTAAAAGCAAATTATGCAAGTTATACATATATAATATTTCATAACGTATAATGATCAAATAAATTATGAGACTTGATGAGTTTTTGGCCTTGATTTGATGAGATTTTCTTGTCATATTTTGTATGCTGCTGATAAAAATATGTATACGAGAATCATTCTTTGATTTGTAATTAAATTTAACAGATTGTACCCAAAAAGGTGTATGTTATATCTAACTGAGAAAACCGATGGAAGAATTTTCTATAAAAATTGTCTTTGATGATGTGACAAAAGCCTATATATTGTTTATAAAATTGACGAAAAATGACATAAAAGCTACTATAATTTAACTATAACATATAATCTCACAAGGTAAGTCAAAAGCAATTTTAAGTTTTATAGTCAGGCGTTTACAATTTATATGGTAAGAACTGGACGACATGACAATATATTAGTCAGCCACAATATACTACTTTACTCTCTGAAATACATTATAAAAACAGTTATATGGGACAACATTTGTCCAGCAACATTATTGAGATAGATTGGAATCTAACGTGATATTAATTTTTGGATCGATGTCTTCATTGAATGGAACTATAATGATTATTTTTCGTACCTGTTTGGAAATTGATTTTGCTTCCCCCCAACCCCTTTTTAAAAGTAAAAAAAATAAATAAAGACGATGAAATTATAAAAGTGTAGTTTTCTTCTAATTATTCTGTTTTCTTAAAGCATTTTGAAGCAGCAAAGGTGAGATTTAATGTAATGTGGCATGCTTGTGAGTTTATCATCATTACTTCTTTGAACTTCTGTGACCCTTTTTCCTTGCGGGAAAGTCCTTTCCTGTTTTCCCAATATAAAATTCATTGCACTCACCAAACAAAGAATGAATAGGTAAAAAGTAGAGATTCAAATTCATAAGAAGAATAACATTTCCTAATTGATCCCTACTAATTACAGTTAAAATTAATGAAACTATTGATCTGTTGATCATAAAAATAGAAATGCTGCAAAAGAATTATTAACATACGTGCAAAAACCTTAAACATGGACGTTTCAAGTATTATTAGCTGACATACATGTCTTTTTCCTTTTTTGGGGTTAATTTGGAAACCCGACATGACCTTATTATTCTTTACATGTCGAAAAAACCTTTACAAACTGCTTATATCTAGAGCAATCCTTTATGCTAAAGTTTGTAGGATATTCAAAAGAACAACTTTATGGAAACTCAAATTTGCGTAACAATAGCTATTGATCAGAGGTAAATATATTTAGTCGCAGAATCATTAATTTCGATCTGAAGTAAAAATGATCTACCATTGACATAAGAGAAGACATACCAATGACCTATTTTCTTCTCGACAGTATTTTTAATCTAGGTTTGGCTGACAGGTAAATATTAACTTTTATTGATAAGTAACTAATCTTTTTGTTTACAGGTACAAACGGTACCGGTCTTGACATGGAAAAGAACAGAAGCGAATTTTTAAAAATTGACCATTTTTATAAGAACGTTTATATATAATAATAATAATTTTCTTCTAAAAAAAATTGAAATTTTCTTCTAAAAAAATATTGAAATTTTCAAGTATTTTTTACTGTTGATTGTAATGTTTCCCTTCAAGACCGGTACAAACAAAAAGCGTGACACTGAGAAAATCTATCAAAAGTGGTTGACAACTAGTTTACCACGATCTTTACCCCGATGAATCTTTTGGGTGAGATAGATATATCATATATTCATAGATAATACCTTCGTTTATTTTTCTATATATATGTGTATAAAATAGAAAATAAAATAAAAAAGAAGGTGGAAAGTGGTCAAAGGCAATAATGGAGAAGAGAATGATGGTGTTGAGTAATGTAGAATTTCATGTGAAGGTGTTGGTTCCGAAAACGAACAAAACATGGCCTTATGTGGTAAAACTCCTTTTCAGTGTTTTAACCAACATCCAATTCTTCGTTGTTTTATATTGTGAGTGTTTATTTTTCCGGTTAATGTTTTTATTTATATGGTATTTCCTTCCTCATCCGTTTTTTTTGAAGATGTTCTAGCTTCAAGTGTGTATTTCGAAAAAGTTAAAAATGTATATTTTGTTTAGTTTTTCAAGTGTGGAAGTTACAATACTACATTTTATGCAATTAACATAACTTTTCCAACGCAATCAATGATACCATGACTAGCCATAATTTCATAGGACTATGTGAGAATAATTGATTCTCTAATCTAGATTTATAGGACAACTATTGCTGATCAAGTGTTAACCACTATTCCAGTAGCATCTGGTTAACATAATGAACTGTTTCCTTTCTCAAAATTTGACGACATTCATAGAAGCTGCGCATGTGTGTGTTAAATACCACATGTGCGCTACCTTCTTTCTTATATACTATTAAATAGGAATATAGCATGTTCTTCTGCCTACGATCCATTAACTCAAATCTTTGTCCTGGCATATTTATTTGTATAGATATACCACGCTAGGTTTTTTATGTAGGTGTGCATCTATATGAATTGGACTCACTTTGTGATTCAAGTTCCTGAACGTATAAATACAATGTGATTTAAAATGACGATGGTTATCAATTTTAGAAAGCTGTAATCAATTCCTACCAAGTACTGAGTAGACACGTTTTGAGATAACTGATCACTGATATTAGTGCACTCAATGTTTATCCTAAATTCCATGTTATCATTTGGAAGTTGTAATACTTCCCTTCATTACGATTTACATTTATACCTCCTGTCTTTGGACTAAAGCCCATAAGGAAAAAGACCTAATCTGAACCCATGCTAAAATATATGGTAAAAGCTTTTGTTGTTCAATGTATGCATTGGAAAATCCGAATTGTCTACTTCGTAGCTCTTTGCACGTAGCATTTAGACACCAGACGTTCTAAAGTTCTCATCTTATCATAAAAAAATCTAAGAAGATGATGATTCGTGTGGACTTCAATTTCTTTACACATTTGGCTTCATTACAATTCAAACTTACGTATCGTACTACTTTTTTCACGCAGCCACGCATTCATTTGGAAGCATGCAACTAGCATCTTCTTATTTCTTAGAATCCCCAAACAAAATTGTACAAAAAAAAAGAATCCCAAAACATACACAGTAATTTACTACTCCCTCTCCGGATCCCTAGCTCTCTAAGTGTAAGCTCTTCCACCACAAAGTTTTAAGGTGATCTTACAGATCTCTCGCTCTAGATATTTCTGATCATCATATTCTCTCATAAATATCTTTAGCTATTACCAAATATTCACTGATTCATCCGATTTTAGGTAAATATTACTGTCTTAGCTTACGGTAGACTATGATTCTAATTTGTATTGAATTTTCTAGTTCTAGAAGTTCATATGAAATTAATAAGTATCATAACTAAATATTTTATTATTTTGAATTAACCAATATATATATATATCAATTATTTAAGATCATAAAATATTTGGACCTAACAACAACATAAATTAATAAACATCGTATTTATAAAAATAACTAAAAAATAGTGAAATAGTCCTGTTTTGTAAAATGATCTCAATTAAACAAAGACTTAACCAACGATAATCCAATCTTAATTTAAGTAAGTGGACGAAAATAAAATTAGGAGTTGCCGAACATGAACTATATATAATTGTACTAAAAGGTACGCAAAGTCAACTATTGGAAAAAAAGTTAACCAAACTAAATTTAAAAACGACTAAGGAAATTAAAAATTGTCTAACTTTTTGTCACAAATTAATTCATATAAACTCCTTTTCTTGAACTTATAAGCTCTGTTTTTCTACTTCTTTTGGTAGGGTGTAAAAATGAGTTTGTGGTATATAATTATTACACTCGTCGTCTTTGCATTCATACTCATTGCAAAAAACACGAAGAAAACAAAGAAGAATCTACCTCCTGGACCTCCTAGACTTCCCATAATTGGAAACTTGCATCAATTGGGATCGCAACCTCATCGTTCCATGTTCAAACTATCCCAAAAATACGGCCCTCTAATGTCATTGAAGTTTGGAAGTGTATCTACTGTCGTGGCATCAACACCAGAGACTGTAATGGACGTCTTAAAAACATTTGACATAGATTGTTGTTCACGACCTTATATGACGTACCCTGCAAGAATCACATACAATCTAAACGACCTCGTTTTTTCTCCTTACAACAAATACTGGAGGGAAGTACGTAAGATGACTGTTGTTGAACTCTACACAGCTAAGAGGGTACAAGCATTTCGACATGTAAGAGAAGAAGAAGTTTCATCCTTTGTTGATTTCATCGAGCAGTCTGCTTCATTGGAGAGTTCAGTTAACTTCAACCAGAAGTTACTGAAGCTGTCGGGAAGTGTTATATGTAGGGTTGCATTTGGGATCAATCTTAAAGGGAGTAAACTTGAGAAAACCTATGAACAAGTCATTGTAGAAGCGTTTCAGGTGTTGGGGAGTTTTGCAGCAGCGGATTACTTTCCGGTTATTGGCAAAATCATCGATAGGATCACGGGGTTACATGGAAAGTGTGAGAAGGTTTTTGAGGCAATAGATTCGTTTTTCGACCAAGCTATAAAGCATCACCTAGAAGATGAGAGTATTAAGGATGATATCATTGACTTGCTCCTCAAGATGGAAAGAGGAGAGGTTGGACTTGGAGAGTATCACCTTACTCGAAACCACACCAAAGGAATTCTTCTGGTAAGTAATACAAAACTTCTCAATTCAAACTCCATACCTGTGCCAGCTTAGATAAGTAGGCAAGCCGTGCGACCGCCTCTGATCCAATCCTTTGTCCTCTTATTTTTAATAAATAAATGTTTTTTATAATAAATAAATATCTGATTTTAAAACAAATACATATATTTTTATATTAAAATGAGAAAAGGGGTCCAGATTTTTATTTCTATGAAAGTATTTTTACTTTTATCAAAGTTTTATTTAAAATAAAATACTTCTGGTATTCTGAAAAAATAAATATCTAAATTATTTTTTAAAGATTATTTTGAAGACTTCATTTTTTTCCCATGACACTATTGAGCCAGCTTGCTCCACACTCTCATTTTGTTGTTGTTTTTATTATTACAGAACATTCTTACTGCTGGAATAGACACTTCTGCCCAAACTGTGACATGGGTGATGACTCATTTGATTGCAAACCCAAGAGTTATGAAGAAAGTGCAAGCCGAGGTGAGAGAAGTGATTCAAAACAAAGACCACATCATAGAAGATGACATAGAACAACTCGAGTATCTCAAACTGGTGATTAAAGAAGCATTTAGAATAACACCGCTTGTGCCACTTCTAGTTCCAAGGGAGGCTTCAAAAGATGTAAAGATCGCAGGCTATGACATTCCCAAGAAAACATGGATTCATGTCAACATTTGGGCTGTTCATATGAATCCAAGCGTTTGGAAAGATCCAGAAGCTTTCATTCCCGAAAGGTTTATGGATAATGAAATTGACTATAGAGGTGTGAACTTTGAGTTGTTGCCGTTTGGTAGCGGAAGGAGAATGTGCCCAGGAATGGGCATGGGTCTGGCTTTAGTACACTTGACACTTATCAACCTTCTCTACCGTTTTGATTGGAAGCTTCCTGAAGGAATGAAAGCTGAAGATGTTGATCTTGAAGAGTCGTATGGGCTTGTTTGTCCTAAGAAAGTTCCACTTGAGCTTATTCCGGTCCTTACCCAGTGGACTTGATTTCACTTTGCTTTATAAACAAGGTAACATTCCGCGTTTGTATTGTGACTTGCGCGCCAAGATAATAAATAATGTAGTACTTAGATCTCAAATAATGTAAAAATACATTGATTCTTACATATTCTTAGACTAAATAGGAATCTTTGTATCCCCTTATTATTAAAAGGCAAGCAAATGAAAAGATAAACCTTGCCAGTGTAATATATTTACATTAGTGCCATTCTGCTTACTTGTCGCAATAAGAGAGCTCTTCAGACCGAATTCATTAACACCCTCGCCCATCTAGAATAATTACAGAGAATTACCACTGGACTGACATTTTAATAAACAAACATATATATTGTATGTATAACTCACGTGTGCCTTTTTGGAAACTTTTATGCATTCCTTAATAGAATGTTAAGGTTTATTCGGCTGCCCATCTTCTTTTTATAACCTGCAAATAAAGTTCAAGTTAATAGCTTATACAAAAACAAATAAAGTTCAAGTTAATAGCTTATACAAAAACATATTCTCAGACCACATTAATATTACAAGTAACTATTATCATAACATTTCTGGCAAAGTACGTCAAATATATACTATACAAATAATCTCATGTATTTGAATTATATTATGAGACAGACATGTTCTATGGCCATATATATTTTAGAGATCTCTATATTTTATACATATAAGATATTAGGGGTTTGGATAATATTATGACACATTTCTTATACTTACATGAAAGTGTAACTTATTTCAATATTAACTAATCATAGTTTAGAATTTTTCATTTCACTCCTATTTGAATTTAGGAATTGTAGGTTACATAAAGGTTGTCCAGAGTGTTATTTGAAGTCAAGCAAGAGACTATATAATAACAAAACACCAATGTTGTATATTCTAATATTATTTTAACTATATAATAACTAAAACCTTGATGTTTTAACTATATAATAACTACATCCTCAAAGATGCAAAATAATTTTTATAAACTTGCTAAAATATCGACACTCTTAATTTGAATTACAAAACCAAGACTTTTTTTTATCCTAAGATTGAAACTAAACTAATTTCCGTAATCTATGCATAAGCTATTAAATCCAGTTTTGTCTCCAAGCAATTGTTGTATTTAATGCAATGATCTACTCAAGCAAATTATGGTAAGTTTTCCAGCGTAACAGCGTCAAAAAACATTCTTATTGATACGCAAATCATATATATTTGAATTCGAGATATACATATTTGTATTCGAGAAATCTATTAACTTGCTAAAATTTTGGTGTCTTAACCATACAATCAATGTCGATTGCCAATCAGTTTAGGTAAAATTAGTTCTATATATTATCATTCCTTATTAGACTTATTTCATTAAAATCTTAACCCAAGGTTCTTCTATAAAAGCTGAATCGGGAATGCTCCAGACATGTCCCATATTATTTTCTTTGCTGAAGTATCTTATGATAGAAGATAAAAAATAAGAGAAGGAGAAATCGTACCTGCGTTCGTCGATTGTAAGAGTGAAAAAATTTGGGTAGAACCCTAATCCCCTTTCGTATTTTTATCCATCGTTATCTCGATATTCATTTTTTTCTTTCTATAAATGTGTTATATTTATACGATAAGTGTTTTGCTTTGACATGTTGCTCGAATAGCCAAGTTAGAATGGGCCTTGCATGAGAATATAATTTTGCTGAGAATACTGATCTAAAAAAGCTGAGCTCCATTGCTTCTCACGTTTATAAACTTTACTCAGATATTGGGCTGTTAACTTTAAATCATAACACATTTAATAAACGATTTTCCCATTATTACCATAAATTTACCCAAGCTAATAATCCCTTTAAGCAATCTATGTGAATGAATATTTATTCAACAACAAAGCTAACAGTTTTCCTTTGCTAAATTTCAATACTAATCTCATCCCGCGCAAGGCGCGGGTCATATCCTAGTTTATCTTATTCTGCTACATCAATAAACCCTTAAATTTTTTTTAAATGATTTCTTGAAGAGGTGTAAGTTTTCTTAAATAATATAAAGATTGTATACCATTATCATCAAGAAAATGATTGTTCACATAAACACAACTTCTTGGGATCATTATTAGGACTAGAGCTAAGCAATCACAGGTGGTGTTGGAGGAAGAAACTGTCTTCTCCTTTCACCTCTTCTTTTTCTTCTTCGGTTTATAGAACCTGTTGAAGAAAGAGAAGAGCTAGGTGGAAACCTACTTGAACTGCTCCTAAGTTTCTTCACTTCTGAAATCTTCTCCTCCTTTGATCTAACCTGCCTCACCTTTGTCTCATTCAGCTCTGCCGGCAAAACACAGTTGCAGAACAAACCTAAAAGGCAAAACACAAACATAAAAATAATGAGCTTTTTTACTAAAACAGAGTAAATGCTCTGTTTTTGGTTGCTTCTTACCAAAGCGAGCAAGACGGTTAACCCAACTAGGGATAGATCTTCTGGTCAGCTGAACACAAACGTCATTACAGAAGTGATTACAATTCTTTGTAATGAGATGGTAAGTGTTTCCGCTATACCCTTCAGCAAGTTTCTCCATAAAGGCACAAACTTGTTCAGGATCCAAATCTGTTTTCCCTATCAAAATAGACTTCCTGAATGTGAAACCTGGACATTGCTTAGGTTCCACCTCGAAGATCCCCGTTGTTGAATGCTCGTTTGCTCCAAAACCATACTCAACCCCATGAACTTACCAAAAACAATTGATCCAAGATTAGGTCAAAAACTTTCCATTTTTAGAAACTACTAAAAAACAAACAAACGAACTAACAAAGGTGATACCTTCAACACCAGAGTGGTAGACACCGAGTCCTAACCAGTAAGCGTAGCCATTGATGGGTGTGAGATCGTATACATTCAGGTAAACCGGAACCAAACCGGCTTTCTTTTTGCGGCCGTTCACCATCACCATTCTACACAACATCTTTCTTTGAACCAACCAAAAGGAATAACTCTCAAGACTCGAAGGTTTTAAAGACTTTAAAGATTTGAGAGAAAGAATGTTATTATTGGTGGAGACTTCTGCTTCTTATGTCAATCTATGAGAGAAGCTTCTGATGTTTCATTCTTTCTTAAAAGCCACATTCTTTCCTGCTTTCTGTCATCTTTTTATTTAGGACACAGATTGTAGTAGTCCCTATAATTTAACATTTTTTATACTTTGCCCCCAATATTATCCAAATGGTATTTTCAAGTCAACGAGGACTTACTTGAGAGCTGAGAAGAGTGCCAACATTGAGATTTAATCAGCCGTAGAAATAGTAAAAATCGACTGTGGCAGTTTGGCCGCCAAACTTACATGAACTCTCCAACTTTTACCATATTGATCACAATATTAGTCAGCAAGAAAATCAGCTTTTCTTGCGGTCTAGATAGATATTTATGAATAGTATTGTGTATTACATATAAATGACTAAATTCTTAAAAAAAAATATGGCACCACTATACATAAGTTTTAGATTAAATTTCATAAAATTATTTGTTTTTCTTTAAAAAAAAATATAGCACTAGACATAAGTTTTAGATTAAATTTCATAAAATTATTTGGAACAATCCAAATAATTGATTAGGCATTAGACATATCATTTCACCTTGGTGATATTCTGGAAAATGGCACTACCAAATGTCATAAGCTTACTTACCAAAATATCACTAATTAATTAGTAATGAGAAATGGTTTAGTCTCGAAACAGTATTGTTGTTGTGGTGATGGAATAAATTGGCCTTGTTGTTAGTTAAACCGGTTTAGCAGACGCAATGAATCACCAATGGATGATTGTGTAATAAAACGCGAGGAGGGTGGAAGACATATAA